GTTGGTAAGCCGTAGCAATACCGGCTGAGAAATTTCATTAATAGAGGCCGTGCCCCCAAGAGAACCCGGAGAACATGTAACCCATCTCAGTCCCAGGTACAGCACTCCCCTGAAGCAGAACATAATCAAAGACGGTGGGGTTTGTTTCTGACCAAGGAGCTGGGAGGGGGGAATCTCATATCGCCGTTCATATTCATATGATCACAGCCTTCAGGAATAGTTGAGACCATTAGTTCTTGCAAATTACAGGGTCTGAGCTCGGCCAACGGCAGCTTTCACACCATATCCAATGAGATTGATTCCAAAATTTCCCGATGTGGCACATCACGACCGCGAAGACCGCTAAACTGCGGAAGTACGAATGTATGTCTAGAATAATGTAGAACGAGATCAAGCTTTGAAAACTCACATGAACTAAAGCTGGTCGTTTTATTTCTGCCAAGCTTGAGCATATTTAGTACTTTCATATGAAAATGTGTGCATGCTAAACTGGCCGCGTCGGACAGCATGCCGTAGGAACACCGCAGATCATGAGGAGATAAGAAGTATAACAAAATTACTCCCATCAAAAGCACGAGTCATGCTCTTCAATGTGAAGCACATTAGCCAGCGTAGTGAATAGTAAGCATCACTAATCGTGCCTCCTACTAAACCAAGCATTCACGATCGATCTTGTGGCAAAAGCAAAAGGCGCTTAGCAAGGATGATATGCGCTATTCGAGGGATCGTCCCGAACCGTGCAGCAAGGATATCACAATAGCAAGAATTTCTTAATGGTTCGCACGGAATTTATCCTATCTGAATATATGCGCTAAAGAATATGTGACGAAATAGTCCGAAAAATAAGTCAGATAGCAACATGAAGATGACAATGAGCTATCATCCGCTTGCAGTGAGGAATATGTGATATGGAGAAGAAGAAGCTTCAACCTGCCACGAAAGTGCTGGACCAATTGAAACAATTTCCACTAGCTGAAGTCTGAAAGTATTGCAGAGCTGCATCAATATAGGGCCCTGATACAGATCGATCCAATGGCTGGTAGATGGGTGGGACCAAATGCCGACGAGAGCTAAGCAAGAGAGAAGGTGATTCGACGCAAGTGCCTCCGGGCAATTAAACAGTCGAAGGGCGCCGCTCTCGCAAAGTTAGTGAAGATCGATATTACTGCTACTGGATCCCATTCGACGGAATCGAGCGATCTGCAGTGTGGCTTTTGTAGCTCCTCAGCCGCAAAAGTATGATTCGCCCACTTGGGATGCCCATGTATGCATTCCCCGTGTAACGGTGTATCAATTGGAGCCCTCATACCTCCTTGCTGCATTCAGTCCTTGCATTCGTCACAACCGAGGCAGTGTAACCATAGTGATCGGTTTCCAATAGCCTATATGCCACCCTCACCCCCAGCTCATCCCTATTCTAAGAAATTTCTTGGGTAGTTGATTGTACAACAACTTGATTGCACATCACGTTTCTGGTTGCTTCTGCTTCTGAATATCCAGATACTCATACATTGAGCAATATATGAGCAACTAACAATATGGCAGCTGCGGGAGAAAGCGCTCCTCCGAATGTAGATACAGATTCCAAGAATCCTCGACTGAGGCGGAAGTTCATCCTTTGCTTCGACGGCACAGGGGTTTGTCTTGTTTCCTTACAAAAATCTTGATTTTCTCTTGGATCGAGGGGCTCAAGAGCTGTCCTAAAAGCCAAGATACTTCGTTCCCTTTGCCATTTAAGCTCTTAAGACAAGCTCTCGAGCTCCTAGCTCAGAAACACAAAGTAACAAAAAACCTGCTAATTTGGTAATAGAATAAGTTTCAAGGAAATGCTGGAGATAGTAACAGTGCGTTCTAATTGATCAGTTGTTGGTTGGGCGCTAAACATGGGCATAGTTCTCAAAATATACTCCCTGCTAGAAAGGTCGGACAAGAATCAATTTCACTATTACCAACGTAAGTAAGATGCCGCCGAAGAATTTTGAACGAGTGCATTAATAAGTGTAGCCGGAATTGGAACCTACACCAACAGAAGTTCCCTTTCATCGAATGGATTGGTTTCGCGGATCTCATCCTGGTACCATAAGGCGAAAGACTCGGCTATAGGCACAACACTCGATGAGCACGTAATGGCCGGATATCGATTCCTCATGCGTTACTATCAGGACGGAGATGACATCTTCTTGTTTGGCTTTTCCCGAGGGGCATATATCGCTCGATTTCTAGCGGAGATGCTTGATCATATCGGCTTATTGAGTGCAGGAAACGAGGAGCTTGTGCGGTTTGTTTGGAAAACTTTCGCAAAATGGCAGCAAAGAAATGGCCAAGGATCGGAGGAGGAGAAAGAGCTTTTTCGATATATGAAAGGCTTCCGAGAAACTTTCGCAAGGCCGGTTAGAAGAATTAGATTCTTGGGTCTCTTCGATACGGTGAACAGTGTTTCGAAGGTAACTGTGCTGAGTAGTTTCCTAATATAAATACTAACCTGGTCGTAGTTTGAAGGAGCCTGGATGCGTCGGAGTAATCGATTCCCCTATACCGCTCGTAGCTCTGCAAGGACAATTTGCCATGCAGTTTCTATTGACGAGCGCCGTGCGAAGTTTCGACAAGACCTCATCTCTCAGAAGAAAGAGAGGCATGAGGGTCATAGACATCCCCATCTCGACTACTTTCGGCACTATGGAGCTGCGCAGGCAGCGATAAACAAAGCTAATGGAGTGCCATCTTTGAAGGATAGTATGACTGACAAGAAAGAGACCCTGGAAGCACCACATATAGAAGGAAATAGAGAACGGTTCCGTTCCATGTCAAGAGGTCGCTCTCGTCCAAGGTCGAGCCAGGTGCAAGATGGGGAAGGACGAATGAGTTTCATGTCGTGCAGATCAGAGAAAAGTTCGACGACGAACCCAGTATCCGTTGACGAGGATGAGGAAGACGAAAAAGCTCCTCAGAAAATCACTGAAGTCTGGTTTCCAGGTTGTCATGCTGACATTGGAGGCGGTTGGACGCCAGACCCCCCGGAAAACCTTTCCTTGAGCCATGCGCCGCTTGTCTGGATGATTAAACAAGCACAGAAAGCTGGCTTGGTGTTCAATGGAGAGAAACTGCGAAGTCTTGGTTGTCATTATGAAGAGGATCTCCTTCAGCAAGATGACGAGAAAGCCAAGGACGCTGGAAATAGTCAAGGCCATGCAGCACCAGGCACCTCAATTCCAATCATTGAGGTAAACAACGATATTCTGCCATCTATTCCCTCTCCCGTGTCGACCCTCGACCACAACCCCCCGTTATCAGGATCTGAGCGACTAGAGAACCATGCTTTCATCGACCGTCTGCACAAATCGTGCACACTTGGCCCTATTCACGACTCTTTGCAACGCAAACAAGGAACACCCAACCTAGGGGTTCTGACGTGGAATATCATGGAGTTTTTGCCATTTCGCCGAATGGACCTGTGCCCAGATGGGACTTGGAAAGCCATTGTATGAATTATTTCCATCATCGTCTTTAGTGAAGGGGGTCAGCGGTTCAGAAGCTGTCTCAGGAGCCCATTTTGTAATTGGGCGGTTTGTATCCTGAGACAGCCCAGTGCTCTGGACTCTCACAAATCTTAGACTACTATAGTGCTAATTCTTTGCAGTGGTGGCCATTGCCAATGGGTGAAACCCGTGACATACCCGTTGACGTTCAGATACACAACAGCGTAATACGTCGAATGCAGGCTGATGAGAACTATCGTCCTGGAAATTTGATCATCGGGGGTGGGGGAAGAGGAAAGAGACGTGCGCCAAAGGAGGTGGGCATAGGTGACTGGGAGGCTGTCGAAGAAGGCAAAGGTCATCCAATTGATGAGGTATGGGTGCGAGCCAAGAAGGAGGGATAAGTGTCAGACTGAGACAGGATGTTGAGCTGTAAGGAAGGATTCCTACCATATAGCCTAGTTAATGGTTAGAAATCGTAATGGGAGTCTTCTAATTTGTGTGGTAGTGTAGACATGAATCAAGTATCTGATTGCGAAGTAATTAAAGCTCGAAACAAAAAAGCGGGATGGATACCCACGAGTCGAAATTGAACAGAAGAAATGAGAAGTGATGATGAGTATGCTCAGCAAGTGGATCTGTATCCTTGTCGCATAATTAACCTGAAAAAGTTGCAAAAATTCAGCAGGCAGCGATTAATTGGTATGTAAAAGGACTTCTAATATTCTCGTAATCTCATCTCCAATAAAAAAAACGGCAAATATCTCAAATACCATCGTTTTGTTGCCAAATATCTCATATACCACACTTTTTTTGCCGAATATCTCATATACCACCATTTGTCTCTTAGCGCAAAACAGTGGTATTTCAGATACTTAATAACAAAACGATGGTATATGAGAAACACTAATATATCTTATATACCATCGTTTTTTTGTGCATCTACACTGTAGCAATCACAATACACGCTACAGCAACTACAATACACGCTATAGCAATACAATTACAATTACGAGTTAAATACGCTGTAACAACTACAATACACGCTATAACAATATATAAACTAGCAATATATAATATATCGATATAAATTAATATAAGTTGTACTATATTTAATTTGTATTTGTAATTACATTATTTCAGTATATATTGCTGCAGCGTGTATTATAGTTGTTACAATGAAATTGCTACAGCGTATTTAACTCGTAATTGTAATTGTATTGCTATAGTGTGTATTGTAGTTGCTGCAGCGTGTATTGTGATTGTTACAGCGTAGTTGCTACAGAGTGTATTACAGGCTTTACAGTGAATGTTGACGAATATCTGATATACCATCGTTTTGTTGACGTATATCTCATATACCATCAAAGTGGTATATGAGATATTCGGCAAAAAAAGTGTGGTATATGAGATATTTGGCAACAAAACGATGGTATTTGAGATATTTGCCGTAAAAAAAAAGTTAGGACATGGTAGCATATGACTTATCCACCAGCCTAGCTAACATGTCCCAAAAAAAAGATAGGGCCTAATCCGGGATCGAACCGGAGACTTTACAGGCTGTTAGAAAGCTGAAGATACATTCGGAACTCATTAAACTCACCCTCTTACACCCAAAGCAAGAATTCTACCACTGAACTATCAGGCCCGTCGTGATTTTTACTGCCTCATCGTCGTAAACCACAACACATTAACCAAATTTGACTATTTATTATAGCATTTTCAAGAAATACAAAGCGATTTTCAATTTTCGATTTTACAACTTTTTGAACGGCGATTCAGCATCCAGTATATTATTATTTGTTTTCCAGTTTCCACACTCACAATGGACAATGCGTCTTTTTTTTCTGCAGATTTACTTCTTTTTTCCAGATTTTCTTCCGATTTGAGGGAACTCGTGGCACTTAACCTGAACCTGCATTTAATATGTCAGATAGTGAGAGTTCGAGCGAAGAGTATCAGGAACTGTGGGGTAAATTTGACAGAATTGAAAGTGGGGAAGCGCTGGGCTTTAAACCCTTGTCAAGTCCGGCCGAGAGATCACACGACAGAATATGGAATGAATGGTTGAAGTTAGCGTCCGGATGCGTTAAGTATTATATGTTGACTAAAATATACTAGATTTCGGATTAAGTTTAAGGCTAAGCTTTTCAAAGTCTCAGAAAATGCTACAACTATTAGCATTTTGAAATTTTTTGCATACTATACATCACAACGAAAAGGCATGTTTGGAGACCAAATATCTCAGGACAGTTTGATGCATTATGTTGGACTGTTTAGACAAGCTTACAACCGACGGTCGAAGCAGCATCAAATCACTATAAAAGAAGCGGCCGAAATAAAACAAGTGTGTAAGCAGACCAGTTACGGCGCACCTGCTTATGCTTTTAGATTTTGAAACAAGAACTACCCACATTGCCAAGAGATGTGCGCCCGAAGCCTATCGCAACGTCTAAGGACTTGATTCTTTTGCTGGAACAACTATGGATCAAAGACACCTTTCGATATCCCAATGAACGATATCGTGTTCAATTAACTATTTATTTGCACCTGTTGGCGTATACCGCTAGCAGACCTGGAGCTATTATCGTTTCTAGTGCGTATCGAGGAACAAACGAATGTATCCTTTATCAAGTAAGAGCTTGGTGTTCATAAGCTGAAGCATTTCGTTAACGATAAAAGGATTTCCAGGTTAATGTTATACCGCCGTTGGACCCGGATACCGATCGGCCACGGATAACTCTTACACCGAGGATAAATCTTATGAAAGGGGGACGGGATGATCCATCGAAATAGTACTGTTTCTAAATTTGTACTGTTTGCTAATGCTAATAAATCTTAGCATCGAAATGACAATGAAAGAGAATCGCATGGCCCCTTATTTGTGCCCAGTCACAATGTTTTTAGTTCTGGCTTTCATGGACGATGTTTTTGCTCACTATCCTGACCCGGAGACGTTGTTGTCTTATCGGTTACCGCCTGGCAAAGAGAAACATACGATTCAGTACAAGCCTGAAAAAATGAAGATACCTTTGTTCAGACTGGCAACAAGCAACCGAGTCAATTCTGATATTTCAGACACGGCAGGCTGGTCCTCACAATCAAGCGCGAGTGCGCTCTCCCGATTATCAGAGAGGGCAGGCTTCTTTCCTCCATTAACACCTTACGCATTTCGAAGAGGAAGTCTTAACCTTATTCAAAGTAAGCATCTATTGGCTTCAAGAGCAAAGAATTCGATCTAACACCTTTCCAGTGGTTGCGTCAGAGGCACAAACCCAACAAATAGCTGGCCATCGAAATTTCAAAACAATTCAAAAGTATATGGCGAAGCAACCACGAATTGATGTTCAGGGCCTTTTTACGGACGGGGAAATGGAGCTAGATCATATTGATCTGTTGAAGAGACCGGATCGGCGTGAAGGAGTGGCTCTACCGTTGCCAACTGCAATAAGGAATCAAATAAATACGGGGCCAAAGGCCAAGGCTATGGACTCTGAAATCAAGTCGCTCAAGGGTGAATTAATGAGAGTCCTTCCGACCACTTGTCGAATGCCAACAACTGACCAACTAAGGAGCGGTCGCAAATTTTTCGATGCTTTTATACCAAGAATCCAACTAGAGCTACGGGGAAATTCACAGGATCCAGTGGGAATGGCGGCGTGTGAGACTTCACATATCGAGCAAATATTGCAAGCCCTGCAAACCGTGGTAAAGGCGAAAAAGGTTTATTTGGAAACTTGTCGGCGTCAAGCGCTGAAAGTATTTCGCGCTGACTGGCTCAGCGAGCAGAACGCTAAAGATTCTCGATATAATTGGCAAAAACATATTGGTGATTCTGAGGAAGCACCAGGAACGGAACTTGATTGCGCGGCAGTTCCAAAGTCACTAAGTATGGCTCTATTCCTAAAGCAGCCACCGGACATACCTGCTGCCATAAATTTGATTTATAATTTGATGAAATTCTGTCAATGTGTTGCTAGTGGGTAGGCACATATTCAAGAGCAGGCTATATGCTGTAGTCTACTTACATCCTTTTTTTGTAATTGGCTGTAATTTAGGTAGATTATCTAAATAAAGCATATCACGTGTATCTTTGAGTCAGCTGTTTAGAGCATGTTAGTTCACGCCAAGAACTTGCTTGGTAAGGTCGAGGTCGGCTGCTTGTGACATAAGTTATATCCTTTTTTCTCAGAACTAAAAGAATTGATTCGAAATCTCAAAACCTTGCTTTGGAAAAATGAAGACTCTAACTTCAAGAACCGAGGACAAAACATCTTAGAAATGGGGAATCAAATTGATACTTCTGGAATTGAAGAAGATATTAAGCGCGTGTTTCCACATGTATTTCAATTCATGATTTCTTTCGTCCTGCAACGTGAATTTCGTAGGGTATATTCACGTACTTTACAATGACTCTTTTTACTCAAGCCCAACTTCTGTTCAGAGTTAGTCGCCCTCTTAGCTGGTCAATTGCCCCTGTTCTATAGTTTGCGGGTCTTGTGCACTCCGACAGTTACTCTCAGACCATACCAGGAGCACTATTTGTTATCGTTTTGTCATTTCCGACTTGTCTAAGTAAGAACATTTCCCTTGAAATTGATGTTTCTAAACAGGAGAAAAGTAACTTTTGGTGTTAATGATATCTACGACTACGAATCTGATTTAAGGAATAACCGCAAGAATAACAAATGGGCGGACGGGATCGTTCTTAATCCTGCCGACCACAGAGTTGTGCTATTGTCTGCCAAGGTCTCGACAATTGTTGTCATTTTATTAGCTCTGCCTGCGTCATTACAATCCCCTCAGCTTTTGGGCCACACCATGTCTTTTCTCTGCCTAGTCTGGATATACTTTTCCCCGCTATTCCGCCTTAAGGAAAGACCCGTCTTTGACTCGCTTTCTAATGGCCTCATCTGTTGGCTATTCTGGGTCTGTGGCTACACTTTCAGTGGTCGCACATCTTTAATTTTCGGGCCAGTTTCCAGAAATGGATGGTTTGTGCTATTATATGCTTCGGCTTTACACAGCCTGGCTGCAATTATAGATGCACGCACAGATGCATCAGCCAAATACCAAACAATTGCTGCAGTTCTTGGAGAAAGATATGCTGCGGTCTTTTCTATGCTCTGCTTGTATGTTTTCTTCTATATCGTCGAGCAATACTTATTTATGTTTTAGCTTAACTTGCGCTTTTATAGTCGACTTATGGTCTGTTGTTAGCACGGCTATCTTTGCTGGTGCACTCACATTCCTCCTACTTGTGTTAGCACCTCACAGAATGTCTTTTCTAATTCGACTTGCCTTTGCAGGCTTATACCTTGGCTCAATAGTATAGGCTGTCAAAACTATAACTAAATTATACAAGGGCGAAAGGGCCATTGAGACTTGGTAGAAATTGGCTGTGGTGCTAGCTCTGTTTTGGCGGATTTCGAATAGCCCAAGCTCTATCAGACTTAAATGCTGTGGATTCTATCAATATTTGTGTAAATTGTTTGGAAGAAATATAGGGGTCTAATAGAGATGACAGCCTTGGGGGTGAGAATTGAGAAATATAGTGATATTATAAAGAAAAGATGGCTGGGCATTATAAGGCATTAGCACACGTGAGATAGAAAAGCAACCACCGTCCAGCGCAGGATAGATTTATTTTAGGTTTACGTAGAATACTAAAAGGTCGCTAGCTATAATTCTTTTAAATCAGTATAGAAACGTAAATCAACTAAAATATCTATGAATAGCACCCCTCGTAATTGAGTGATTGGCGGCCTCAGCCTCATGCTGCCGCTATGTCACATTAGGAACAATCCGGCTCGCTTCTTCGTCGTCAACCACATAAAGCGCATCAGCACCGACCAACGGGGCGGATTGTCTTGCACTTTAGAATTTGCGGCTGCTTTTATCCATGGAGTTCCCCCACTCCGCTAAAACACCTAGTTGATCACCTTCGTCAATGCAAGTTAAGAACAGCGAAGCGGGCTTTTGCCATCGCTCGACCATCACCGCCCACAAATTCAATGTCACCGGCAACACAAGGACCCAACTTGGTGACATATACCACAGTCGTGAGTTGCATGCGAATACGAAAGTGGAGTGTTATCAGAAACTGACACACTATAAGCAAAGAAGATCTGCTCAACCTCCTGTCTTGTAGAACAAATGCTCTAACTCAAACTTCTGCCTCCACGACCACCGCGTCGAACGCTTACAAAAGATATAAAACTGGGCTGATAGGAAATATAAGCGGCGTATCTTATAATTGAATGGCATGGCCGGGGAACGTCGACATCCGCACGCACTGTCGCAGCCTCACTAACGCTTAAAGCTAATAGAGATTTGGTTAAGGATGTAGCATTAGTATTAGGTGACGATAGCGTCCAGCTTCGGATAAAGAAACCTAGGCGGCGGTCTATAACACGAACGGCTAAAGCTTGGTTAACGATGTTACAAGATACTATCGTCAACTTCAGAAGGACAACAAAGCCCTGCTCCAGGCGTGGCTCGGTGGAAACTCATGGGTCACGCATGGCCGGAGAATTGCTTGGTCTAGTTCTGGGACGTAACAACAGCGGCGACATATTCTCACCTGAGAAACAACCCCGCTACCTTTTCTTTAGACAGCAAAGTAGTGGCAGAAGGATTCATCAGGGT